AGATGTTTAGACAGTGTTTTGAAAAATGGAATAAAAGACTAGACAAGTGTATTAGTGTAAGTGGAGAGTACTTTGAAGGGGATTGAAGGTTTGTGCTTAAAATTCGAATAAATAAGTTTAAAAAAAATAAGTTCAGTTTCTTTTGGGTACCCCCTCGTATAGTCCCCCTTGTGTTGATGCCTGCATCTCTAAATACCTTCTCTAATGCTATATTGAACAAAAGGCAGGCTAGGGAATCCCCTTGTCGAACTCCATTTCTAGTTATTATAGGGCTGGATGACATATTCTGAATCTTAATTTGGCATTGGGTCTTTCTCATAGTGGCTCTGATTAAGGCAATTAACTTCTGTGGGATGTGCATCTCTTCCATTGCCAGAAAAAGACTATCTCTATCAATGGGGTCATAGGCTGATCAGAAGTCAATGAAAAGATGACGTGTTTCAATATGGAATTCATTACACTTTTCAAGGACCTGTTGAAGAGTGAAAGTCTGATCATTAGTTGATCTTCCTTGACGAAACCCACATTGGTAATCCTCAATTATGCCTTCCACAAAGGGAGAGTCTGTTAAATAGAATGCTGGAAAATATTAATATGCTATGCACAACAGACTAATTCGTCTATAGTTAGAGCATACCATAACATCACCTTTCTTATGGATAGGGCATACAATACGTAGGTTCCATTCCTCTGGGATTATTTCAATTATCCATATCTTAACTATTAGCTGATTAAGTGCTTAGCATATTCTGGGCCTGCAAATTTCACTAATTCTGCCGTGATGAGATCCATTCCTGGAGCTTTATTATTTTTCAATTTTTTGATAGCCTGTTCTACTTCTTTTATGGTCAGCGCTGGCTCTTCAGTCTCAAAATTTCCTTGATTCCAGTCTATGGTCATACCTTCCACTTGTTCAGAGGCGTTACTATTTAATAATTCCTCAAAATATTGCACCCATCTTTCCAGTATTGCTTCATCGCTACTCAATATTGTGCCTTCTTTATCTCTACATAAGGTTGTTCTAGGCTGAAAGTCCTTTCGACTCTTGTTTAGTTTTTGATAAAACGCTCAAATTTCGTTTGAACTTCTTAAATGCTCCAGTTCAATCAGTTCTTGTTTATCATATTCCCTTTTCTTCCTTTTATGCAATCTTTTTTTTCTTTTCTTCTTGCTTCACGGTATTCTTCCACAGCCCCTCGAGTATGGTTCCTTCGCTGCATTCTCTTATATGCCTGGTTTTTTTTTGTCACTTGCTCACGCTCTCCATCAAACCAATTCTTATACTTTATCCTTTCCATTCTTCCTAAGACTGCATCAGCATCATTTATAATAATATCTCTCAGGCCCCTCCAAGCTTCACTGACATCCTCACTATCAGAGAGACCTGCCAGGCATTCACAAATTAATCCAGTATATCTGGTTGCAACTCCTTGTTCCACCAATTTTCCACAATTCAATTTCTTAGCCTGGGATCCATGTAACTTCCTTGCATTAGATATTCGACTTCTATTCTTTGATATTATTAAGTAATGATCAGAGTCAATGTTGGCTCCCCTGTAGCTCCTGACATCCATCAAATCTGAACAATGTCTTACATCTATTAGGATGTGATCAATTTGATTAAACACATTTCCATCAGGGGATTTCCAGGTTCGTTTATGTATATCCTTATGATTAAACATTGTACTACCTATTACCATATTTCTTGAGGACGCAAAATTTATTAATCTCATCCCATTATCATTTGACTTGTTATGTAGACTATGTTTTCCAATTCCCAATCTATATACATTCTCATTCTCCACTTTGGCATTCACGTCCCCTATGATTATTTTACAATCCCTTTTTGGACGTTCGCCATATATTTCATCCAATTCATCATAAAAGGAGTCTTTCTCCTCATCACTTTTATCTTCAGTTGGGGCATGAGCACAAATAAGGCTATAGTTAAAAAACTTTCCCTTAATTCGTAGCCTATACATTCTGTGAGATTTTGCCTGAAAGTCTAAAATAAGATGCTTCCTTTTTTTATTAACAATAAAACCTGTTCCAAACATGTGACTCCTCTTCTGACAACTATAGAGTACACCATGATCCCTCTTTTCTATGACTCCTTTACCCAACCACCTCAGTTCTTGTATAGCAGTGATATCTAGTTTATAGCTATCTAGTTGTTCAAGTAGCATTTTTAGTGCTCCGGCTCTGTAAAGAGATAATACATTCCAAGATCCAATTCTCGAATCCTTTAAACATTTTCCAAGTTGTCTTGAATAGGTCCGTCCGGCTACTCTTTCCTCGGATTTCTGAACAATTTAGTTTTTACAGTGTGAGGTTGTTAGCCTCACGGCCAAACCCCAACCTGGAGAACCAGGGTATCCCTCTCTGTCTGGCTCGTACCCCTTGACCTGTCCGGCATGGGTGGCCCTACCAGTAGCTATGCTACCGCCAGCATAGCTCTCAGGGTCAAAGGAGCTCTCAAACCCCACCACCACAATAAGGTGGAGATACCATTGGTAATGGTAGGACATACGGCAACGTTTACCTAATCACCTTCGAAGTACGACCCTTGTGCACACACACACTTGCTCCATCGATCCTGCCACTGTTGGAAGCATCAGTGGAGGGCTTCTTTTGGAATCTTCCGGAGCTCAGCCGTCCCATTCAATTTGATGTGTTCCATGCAGAAGCCACTTCCTCCGAACTGCATCGCGCAACCTCTGCAAAACTTGCATGCAGAAATGGCCAGTAACAGTACCAACTTCTTGCTCCAACTCCGCGATGGTCATTCTTCGATCACATTGAATCAGTTGTCGCACTTTTCCAATCATTTCTTCGGTTCTGGATGTCGAAGGTCTCCGGCTGCGCTGGTCATCCTCTAACGTCTCCTGCCTATTCTTAAACCGGGAAAACCAGTGCGCTGGTCATCCTCTAACGTCTCCTGCCTATTCTTAAACCGGGAAAACCAGTCATAAACTGCGGATTTCTTTAGTGCAATATCACCGTAAACTTGCTGCAGGGCCAACTGTGTCTCTGAAGCAGATTTTCCCAATTTGCAAATGAACTTGATGTTTGCACGCTGTTCGAACTGCTACATTGTGCCGAATGACCAACACACACGTCTAATTCAAACAGAACAGTAACGACACTGCACACTGAAACCTGCCCAGTCTTGTTGCGCCTTCGAGCAAACATGCTGAGCTTCCCACCACAACAGTGCGTGCCCTATCTTACCGCTTGTTCTCCGTCTGCAGGGGAATTCCGAGAACTTTTTGACTGCCCTAAGTATGTCTCTGATCCAACACCATGTGGATGGTAAACCGGAACACACATGAAATTAAGCCCACAATGCAAAATAATTTAGTAAATATGAATTAAACTGAATATACTTTCCCTGCGTCCAGTCTAGAAAACCAAAATTAGCAGCCATGGGGATTCACTGCACTGACCACCCAACACCCTCTATCCGCTAAAGTTGGCACTAACTTTGCCAACAAGTGGCAGTTGCTTGATTGGTATCGTTCGCTTGTGGACTAAAACCACAGAGCTTTTCTTTTAATACTTTCTCCACGTTTAAGTTACTTTCTGCTGTACTGACTGATTCACATTATGTAAAACCTAGTGCTTACAGTGATCACTGCTTTAAAAAACCGACATCACCCGATGAAACATACAGCACCTAACTTAACCATTACTTGCATGAGCTGGAATTTCTCATAAGAATTATGAGACTGTTTTGTTTCATCTATCCTGTACTATCTATAGTCATGGATCAAAAGAAAGTAAACAGCACAGGTGAACTAATTTCTGCAAATACTGAGTTTATACACGTAATTAATTATGTTACTTGCTTACCCTCTCCATGCACATCTGTGAACTGGAATGCCTGGACAAGACGAAGAGTCTCATCCACTGACCGCCCAACAGGGAGATCATTCAAAGTGATCTGTCTCAAATTCTGTTTCCCATCAATTATAAACAGCCCACGGAATGGAACACCAGTATCCTCACTGTACACACCATACTGTCTGGCCAGCTTTCCAGCCTTATCAGCAATGAGAGGAATGTTCATCTCTCCCAGCCCTCCCTTCTTCCGTGGGGTATTTACCCAAGCAAGGTGAGAAAAGTGACTGTCACACGAAGCTGCTAGAACTTCACAGCCAATATTTTTAAACTCAGCTGCACGGTCTGAAAATGCAATGATCTCGGTGGGGCACACAAATGTACTGAAATATAATGGAGATATTGACAAGATTAACTTACACCATAAGACTCCACAGCTCACTTTACTTTAAATATAATTAAAGGAGGAGTGATCTGAAACTACTTTTGTTTCTTCTGGCTTATTCTGGTGGTTCAAACTTCAAGAATGCATTTAAAACATGTAACCCTTCTCATTAAAATGTCTTTATTTAACAGATCACTGAAACATCACCCGCCATTTTTGGTAATGTATGAATCACCAATAAACATTTCTGGTATCATTATCAAATATCTTTGGTATAATGTATATGGAGAGAAGGGTGTTATCATAATGCCAATTATTTTTCTCTGTTCAGCAGACTGCAAGGACTACAAACAAAACCACTGTCTCATTTCACAGAGTTCTGACACTTCTCCATGATGGACTTAAAAACAAAAAAGGATAACTGTAAATACAAGAAAAACAATACAGAATCAATACCATGAACTGATATCTTTTCACAACAGCAATATGCTACTTTCTGTATACAGACAGATTCTGTTATTGCTGAAAGTGACAAAAGAACTTTCCAGTTGCTGTCAATTGTCATGTTCTCACTTTTTCATTCTAAAGATTATGGTTCTTCTACAACTACATCAGCTTCTATAATGTTTTATCAAAATCATTGGGTTAAAACTTACAAATCAAGTGGATAGAAGAAGAGCACAACATATTTTCCTTTATAGTCACTAAGGGAGATATCCTTGAACTGCCCATTTACTAGTGCAGTAGATGTAAACTGGGGAGCGGGCTTCTGCAACTCTGGAACAGGCATCCTGAGATCTGAAACAGCCACACAACAAATACTCGCAAGAACCCTACTATGTGGGATACTAACAATACCTACACCACACTTTATTTAGTAGTGAAGTAACTTGTGTACCTGTGTTTTGTTTGCAGTTCTATAACATCATCCCTAACTCTGAACATACTGTTGGACTATTATTTATCTTACATTAAATTCTAGCAAATTCAGATGTCCACCCCTCCTTTGTAACATCTGGTTTTTCGTTTTTCTTCAGCACTGGAAACCTATGGTTAGATTTCTAGTCATGTTTTTTCATAAAGAGCTTTTAATATTCAGAAGGGGTGGGGTGGGGGAGGGGCTTGTTTCCCTAGTGCCTCAGACAACATAAATTTCACCTTCTTCTACAACTTTCTTGCAATATTTGCATTTAATTGAATTGAACTGAATTTATTTGCATTCCACAGATCCTAAGTAGGTTAATACCTCTGGATATAGAACAAGTCAAAATAATACCTACTGGTACAAGTAATTTCATCTTAAACTAATATAGCTTAATTCTACATTATTCTCTATTTACATTGAGGTATTCGTCTACAGAGTAGAAGGAATGAGCATGCAGATATTTCTTTAGCTCTGATTTAAAATGTTTAGTATCATTACTCAAGTTTTTGATACTTTGTGGGAGACTATTGTACACTTTTATGCCAGAAAATTAGACTCCTTTTTGATATAGTGATAAGTTTGATGAAGGTAGATGGAAATTATATTTTTGTCTAGTATTCATGTTATGGATATTGGAATTAATTCAAATTTATTTTTGTTGTACACAACAAATAAGAGAAGCGATAGTATATATTGTGATTGAAGAGGTAGAATTTTTAATTTCTTAAATAAATCTCTACATGAATCTCTACTTCTAAGTCCTGTAATGTTCTAATTATATTCTTTTGTATCTTAAAAATTTTTATACTATGTGAAGAGTTCCCCCTGAATATTAATCCATAGTTCATAATAGAATGAAAGTAGGCATGGTAAACCATCTTCAGTGTTTCCTGTGGCATAAAGGGCTTAATCGATCTCATTGCATAGCAAGCTGCACTTAATTTAGGTATAGTTTGTTCTATATGTATTTTCCAAGACAGTGTACTGCCTACATGCATTCCAAGGAATTTTGTATCAGGTGCTTTACAGATTAATTTGTTGGCATAACTGATGACCAGATCAATTTGGTGGCTGTTTTTAGTTAAGAATGGTATGTAATGGGTTTTATCAAAATTTAGTGAGAGTTTATTGGCTTCGAACCATCTATTTAAAGCTTCAAATACAAAATTTATACCATTTTCAAAGTCTTCAATTTCAGAGTTCTTAAATATTATACTAGTGTCATCTGCAAATAGAATTGGTTTAGATTTATTATTGATGGTTTTTGATAGATTTATGTAGAGAATAAAAAGCAAAGGGCCCAAAATTGATCCCTGTGGAACACCATGTTTTATGATTCCCCAGTTTGAAAATGCATTAGAACTGTTTTTTTACTGTTTATCACTACTCTTTGGTACCTATTTTTGAGGTATGATTTGATCCATTCATTAACTTTGCCAGTTATTCCATAGAAATTTAATTTTGATAGTAAGATATCATAATTTACACAATCAAAAGCTTTTGCTAAATAACAGAAAATCCCTCCCACTATTAATCTGTTATTGAGAGCATTTAAAATATCAATGGTTAGTTCATAGGTTGCTTTTTCTGTGGTTTTGTCTTTCCTAAATCCAAATTGTTCTTTGACTAATATGTTGTTAGAATTTAAGTGTTCAAGTAGTCTATTATACATAACTTTTTCAAAGACTTTTGAGAATGAAGTCAGTATAGATATTGGTCTGTAGCTAGAAATGCATTTTCTCTGGCCTTTTTTAAAAAGTGGTTTCACTACAGCGCATTTTAAGCATTGCGGAAAAATCCATGATGATAAAGATTTATTACACAGATGATTCAACGGTGAACTGATGTAAACAGAGCTTGCTTTAAGTAAATTGGTAGAAATTTCATCATATCCATGTGAATTTTTGGGCTTAAGGGATTTAATAATGTGTTCAATTTCCTTTATTGTTGAGAACTTGAGATTTATATTTGGAAATGAACTATTAAAGGAATGTGACAGATATTACATTGGATTATTATTATTAAGATATGTTTTCTCAACTAATGAGAGGAAATATTCATTAAATGCACTTGCAATAGCTTGTGGATTACTAGTAGACCTTCCTTCAATATTCAAACTTTGTACATTTTCATTAACAGTTTTCTTTCCCGATTCAACTTTCACAATATCCCAGGTGGTTTTAATTTTATTGTTTGATTTTAGAATTTGGTTGTTATAATTATTCTGTTTCGCTTCTTTAACGACTTTTGACAAGAATTTACAGTAAATTTTGTAGTGACTTTTTAGTCTTGGATCATTACTGTCCCTACTGGCCAAATATAGATGTCTTTTATGTTTACATGAAGTTTTTATTCCAACAGTTATCAAGGTGGTTTTGTTTTTAATGTCATTTTTTAATATTTTTAAGGGAAAGCTTGAATAAAAGATCCTCAAGTATGTGTTCAGAAAGCAATTAAATTTAGAATCAATATCACTGCTGTCAAATACAAAGATTCATTACTTAATTTTGTGACAAAATCTGCCATCATATGCTTGTTGATTTTCCTTACTGTTTTATATTGTTGATTATTGGGCTGCAGGTTAATATTATTTATTTCTATGAGTTGGGCCTCATGATCGGACAAGCCATTTATAAAGGGTCCTACAGTAAAGTCTCTTATTTTTGAGTTATCAATGAATATATTATCTATCGCTGACCTAGAGTTACTTTGAATTCTTGTGGGAAAGTTAACAGTACTGGAGAGATTGTAAGATAATAACAAAAAATCTAAGTTTAGTTTCCTATTACTATCGACGAGATAGTTTACATTTATATCACCACAAATTAGAAATTGAACTTTTGGACTATGCAGTACATTGAGGATGGTTTCTAATCTAAGAATTGATCAAAATTCCCAGATGTGGCTCTATATAAACTCAGTACACAAATATCAGAAAAAGTAGAGTCTAACTCTAAAGCACAGGCTTCTAGATCCTGATCTTTGCAATAATCTTCTAAATTTATTTTAGTAAATTTCACGTTTTTATGTACAAAAATACTCACTCCTCCTCTCTCTAACGTTTTTCTACAATATCTAGCTCCTAAATTATAATTTTCTATGTGAAAATGTTCTAATTCCAGGTGGTTCATGTGATGTTCAGTAAGGCACAGTATGTACAGTAGACATGAATGCATGAAGCTTATTAATTCATTTGATTTATTTCTCAGTCCTCTTATATTCTGATGGAACACTCTTAGTACTTTGTTTTGTACTGATTTTATTGAGCTATTATTTCCTTTTTTGATTTCTATTTCTTGGCATTTATTACTAGCTGAAGGATTATTTTCTTTTGCAATTTCTTTTACTTGGTAAACCTTACTTGCACTGTTTAGCCTAAAAAAGGATTCTGAACACCCATGACAACTGGAATGTGTCTGCCCTTAAAGCTCTCTGCAATGAGTCGCATGAGCTTGTCCTTGCCTCGAGGATTAAGATGCAGACCATGGACAGTATGCTCATTCCTCATTATTGAAGAGACATCAATCCCATCAATGTGAGTCCTGCCAATCCCCATAAGCGAACACTCAAGTCAAAGATTGCTACTGCTACTGAGTGGCTGCCAGATACAGAGCACCAAAAATTCTTGTTCACAAGGCAACAACTATATATGCCACAGTTTCACTATTATTGATGTTTCACATAAACTCCCTAAGTTTAATACCAAACTTGCTATATATATATACACACACACACACACACAAAAGAACATGTTTCATCCAACAATTTCATTACCATTTTAATGTTGCATATAAACTCGATGGGCTTAATATCAACCTTGCTGAATACACAAATATAAAACACTATATGCCAGAATAAAGAATAAAAAGTTCGATAACTTTGAAATATATCACAAACTGAACTCATAAAATGCATGGTAATGAGATACTGAAATGGACAAATATGTTATGTCCGGATCTATTTTCTGGAAAGGAAATTTCCAGCACGTTACGTGCTTTACGAATGGCCTGTCAGAAGAACACCGAAATCCTTTTTAGTTTACGCCAACAGGTAAATTTATTAACAAAACTCTATTTACCGTTAACGTAATTTTATTATGTGGTTATGTAACGGTGAGTTCATCAATACAGGTCGATTATAACATGGTGTACCAAGATAACATGAAGCACAATTTTGTCATTCCCACGGAACTTTACAACTCATTCTCCTGCCATCAGAAAGATCAGAAAGCCGTAGGCATATTGCAGCGTTCCTAAGTATATGTCGTTCAATGTATAATATTATAATTTTCTTATATCCGCTCATACATCGTAATAATAGGATGGGTCAAAAAATGAATTATACCAAGAGTATTTTCACTCTCATGTATATTTTGATCCTCACTTTATAATGTTCTTGTTATTACAACGATAAAATAAATGTGTATCGATGGCAACACAAAATTATGAATCTAATACCTTTTATACCTCTACACTCAACGGGCTGTTAGAGAACAGAGGACTTGCCGGTAAAAACCGCAACCTTCACACACTTTCCTTCTACGACACAAAGACCAAAGTAGACAGCTTCAGCCAAAATCGAAGAGGGTGACCAACTACTATAAAATTACATTGAGGCTTTATATTCCCAATACACCTCTTATTGTCAAGATTCACAATAAAATAAAATAAACTACTTACCAATACAATTTTATAAAACGGGTTCCTAAAATAAAACAAAAACGACCTCTTTTGGCGGGCCAACGAGATACGAGACGACGTTAGACAAACAGCGTATGTCACGTAGGCTAATACCGCTAGTACACGTAACAGGACCAACGAGCAGGGCCTTGCAAAGAGGTGATTACGTATACTACGAGATAATCGAATTTCTCACGGTTGTGACGGTTGTAACAATGAACACTACTGTCTACTGGTTTCTGATGACGTGTGGTCTGTACACATCCCAAAGGTCCCAAAGGATGTTTTTTTATGGTTCACATAGTATAACGAAATAACAGTAACACTCCCCATAATGTAAATATATATTTTCTTTTTTCAGCCATTCAGGGACGTTGTCCGTGCAATGCACAGCATTTTCTACACAAGCAATTATGCAGACGACATGTGCAACTTTTTGTTGTTTGCTTTAAATATTCTGTGAAAATCGCAATAAAATGCATGCGTCCATTTTCGGGTTCATTCGTTCTCTGTACCCTGCAGCAGTCCCAGTAGAAAAGGACTATCCCCAGAGGACATTCCACTTGCCTTCACTTCTGCAGATGTTCACATTCTGTAACAAATATATCCATAAAGTAAAGTTATCTCTAGGCTTTAATTGATTAAGCACCACGTCATGAAGCAGGAATGTGTGGAGTAGATGTCTAGCTTCGCCATTCTTAACCTCGACACTAGATGGAAGTGAACCGTCAGTTTGACGCCCCTGCCACTTTACCCCCGGCGAAAGACCCCATGGTCACCATTGTGCAGGTGGCTGGGAGGGCTGGGAGGGCCCCGAACCACTCTGGACCGCTCTGGACATTATGGAAAGGAGGAAAATCTCTTGCCCTTGTTGAGAATAAAACCCGAACTCCTGAGCTGTCCAGCTCCTAGTCGCTGCACCGACCGAGCTATCCGGCTCCGAATATTCTATATCTCTATACATAATTAAATCTCTAACATATATTCTGGTTTCAGTCAGAGGATATTTTTGTCCTCGTTGACAAGTCTCAGCCGACTCCATTAGGTAGCTCCTCGACGAGACTTCAGGTTCTAACGGCCGTAAAGATATAGATTGTCATCATCTATGACCAATTTGCACATTATGATAACCTTCTATTGGCCGAAATATGTTATGGAACTGGCTATCTACCTATCTATCTATGGCTCTACAGACCTTAATTGGAACTTGGCCGCTTTTTCAGTTTCTTGAAACTTTCGAACATATTTTGTGAGAATACTTTGACGGGGGCAGGCGGTCACGGTAGCCGATCGGTCTAAAGCATGCACTGTCTTCGCTCGCTCTGAAGCCGGGGTCGTGGTTTCGAATCCTACTCAGGGCATGGATGTTTGTGTGCGTTTTTCTGTGTTTGTGTACAGGTAGAGGCCTTGCGACGAGCTGATCACCCGCCCAAGGAGTCCTACCGTATGTGTAAGATCTAGAAAAAACCGAAGTGAACCTAGAAGTTCATGGAGGTGGGCCTAGGCCCACTGGGACTGTAGTGCTAAGGAAAAAAGAAAACTTTGACGGGGACACAGCCTTTCGCAAGGCCGCTATGTGCATATAGGATAGCACAAACAGAATTAACGCACACAGACATCCTTGCTTCAAGTGGGATTAGAACCCACGATCCAAGTATTTGAGCGGACGAAGACAGTTCATGAACTAGACCGCGCGGCACGCAATTGACTATACTTTACAGAAGCAGAATCTGATAGATTGAATATAGCAGTCATTTGTAATTTCAAACAAATGGGAACAGTCTAGACCGGTCTAGATTCTTCACTTGAGGTTTTCTGACCAAAATATTGTACGCACTCCTGACGTTCCCCGCGTGTACTATACGACCCGTCCATCTCATCCTTAATTTGAACGTCCCACCGAAGTCTGATGAATACAAATGATTAAGCCTCTCATTATGAAGTTTTGTTCAGCATCATGTCACTTTCCCTCCTTAGCAGAATTATTCTCCTCGGTCTAAGATTATCAAACATTTGCTTCCTCCGCTGGTGAAAGAGAAAAGTTTCATACAAGTGGAAAACAGCAGGTAAAATTATGGGTTTGTATATTTCATTCCTTACGAGTTTAAAAACAAGAGGTTCCAAACTGAGTGGTAGCAGACTTTACACAATTTTAAATGAAAGAATCCTAAATATTAGGAATTAATTTGAAATTGGTTGATGAAAATCATCTCATAGTAAAGACGGATAAGACTAAAGTATTATTATTTCAGGGGAAAAGACCTACTCCAATCTATAGACATTTTTGCTTAAATGATAAGGAAATAATGTATTCATCTACTGTAAATTGTTGGGTACTTGTATTACTGAAGATCTAAGCTTGCCAATTCACACTCAATACGTATGCCAAAAGCTCAACAAGGCTCTTTATTTGATTATATCCTTACGCGACTCAGTTATCCGACCTGTATTAAGAAATGTATATTTTACTAAGTTTGAATCTGCACTGATATACGGTATTAGTTTCGGGGGTGGGGGACTTAAGTACTCCGAAACTGTATTTAAAAGATAGAGAAAATGTCTAAGAGTGATTAAAGCGATAAGAATGTTAATGTTTTAAGTGGAAACTAAAAAAGTATTTTCTGTGCAGCGCTTTCTATTCTCTTCAAGAATTTTTCAACTAATTTTAGATTGATGACTAGCTAGTTGATTGTCTTTCGGTCTGCAATTTTTAATATTGTGTTTACATGTTTTATATTACTGACATTCTTCTTTTGGTCTTCTGTATTTGTTATTGTTAAGTTCCTTATAACGGTTGCTGTATTATAATGACAGATCACTGTGTGTATTTTATATGACTTTTATATGACATGTGATGTATTCGTTATTATTTCTTGACATGTCCATTTGTATTCACTTCAGATATGGACGAAAATAAAGTTGAAAGTTGGAAATTAGATATCACGGTTGCGTTGCATTGGCCACTTGCCTTGGTGTGCCCACAGCCGTAGAGATGGCAGCAGAAGTATGCGCAAGTAACGACTGCGCGTATTGAAGTTCCTGCTGGCAGGTTTGTAACCCCCGTGTAAGAGTTTTAACTGTTTACCGTCAGAAGTGGCTACATAAGGTGGAGTGTGAATTGATTAAAGAGAAATTATGAGGATTTCAGCAGATTTCAGTGACAGAAACATGTCGAGGAATCAGGTATGTAGTTGTTTATAATTATATTCCTTCATAGTATTAAGACCTGTTTATGTAACGTAGTATTTTCAAAATTAGTTACCAGTTTTTCATTTCTGAAATAACCGAAATACATGAAATAGTCATGATTGTAGGTATACAATTACGTGACGGTAAATGTAAAGGATTTCAGATGGTTTAAATAATATAAGTCAGCCTCTTTAATTAAAAGTGGGTACTTGACCTGGTATATAGCAGACCACCTATATATACGAGTATATAGTCGACTACTGTTGGCTGTAAATATTATTTTATAACCAACCCAGCAACAAGGCCTTGGACAAAGAGAAGTATTTATGCTACTGAAATATTTCTA